ATACTGATTTAATTATTCACACTTTATAATATTTTGAAATATTTGGTGTTGTTACTCATGCTTTTCATTTTAATTATTCCATTTTTTTCAAAGCTATTTTCACTTATAAACCTTTTATAGGTAATTTTTTTTTGAGATGGAGTCTCGTATTAAGAAAAAAATGGTTGGGTCAAATGTAATCCTCAAGTCTTAAAAGACAGCACACACTTCTGCAATAGATAGATATGAAATTTGATTCTTTGGAATGGAAGAATAGCTGAATAACTTAAGGAGGTTTGCCTGATGTTGAATAACCAGGCCAATTACACTTTTTAATAACACTATAAGAGATTGGGCACTTGTTTCTTGATGCTTAGTGTGGTTACTTAATGTAGTACTTTGTTCTTAGGGTAAGCTCTAAGATGTACCTTTCAGAGATTCTAGTCTATTTGTTTTCATGTAACACAAATGATTAATTTGACTGATTTTTTTAAAAAATGAAATGACCAAGTAAACTAGAAATTTTGCTTTGTATATGGTTGAGGAAGTAGAAGCCTATTCCTGGCTCTGCAGCTAACTACACAACCACGAGCCAGTCACTGGGTCTTAGTTTCCATGTTTATAAATCAGAAATAAAGTATCATTTCTATCTAGAGTACAGAGCTGCTATAGAGATCAAGCAAGACAGCAGTCAGCACATGAATTATTGATGAATTAATTAATGTATGATGCATTGATTAAAATGATTAAAAGTCATTAAGCCCTGAAGAGTATGATACATTATCTGTATCAGCACAACCACAGAATCTGTGTTCCTAGAGGTTTCAGAAAAAGGAGAGAGAATTCTATGGGAGATGCCCACAGTGTGGTCCTATCCTATTTTGGGCTCCTCACATATATACTTGGGGGTTTGGAAGTGTACAAAACTTTACCCAAAGCCACACAGTCTCTGAAGTTACATAATTTTGTTAATATAAAACAAACAGAAAATGTCCTACTTCTTTGCTTTTAAATTAAGAACAGGAAATACAGAACTTGATATAAAAAATAGAAAACTGGAGGCAATAGAAAATCGTGGAAAGAACATGGAACTCTCTAAAATCCAGAAGACTTAGGCTCTGGTCCCTGTTTTGCTAATATTTAACTGCAATGCTGCAATATCTATCGAATGAAAGGAATATATTAGAGGACCTTTATAGTCTCTTTCAGATCAAAGCACCATAGCCTCAAATGAAATAGAACAAATAATCTAAAATGTAATTTTTCTATGCTATGGACAATTAATGGAAAGGGGGAAAACAAGAGTAGACAATAAGACAGATGGACAGAAAAGAGGAAAAGAATAAATGGTAAGAAAAAAAAAAAAGACCAAAAGGCAGACACACACAAATTCTGACCCCAACTCCCTCCCCCTCAAAAAAAATTATATGAATAAAGAGACAGAAGAAAGACACACTAACAAAATGACATTCAGATGCAGAAATAAATATGCACATAATTCTGCTCTTATTTTGTTCATCCTGAAACTTTTCAACACAAAACTACCCCCAAAATTTAACATAATGTTGTACTTTTATGTTAAAAAAAAAAAAGGCATAAACTGAATCAGTTCAAGGCAGGTGCCTCATGAGCTAGATACAATCAAGTTGAAGGTTTAGGATTAACCGCTGCCATATGCTACTCATATTTTTTAGCAAAACATCACTTGATAATTTGAGATCTCACTTACATGGGTCAAATCCAACCAAACAAGCCAAAGGCAAACTCTCCTGAAATAGAAATGTATCCCAAGAACTTTTTTATGAACCAGGGCTTAGTATTATTTTGCTTCCAGATAGGCAGGATTTAAATATTTTAACTTAATAGTTACCAATTATATAAACATGTAACTCCCACATTGCCATTTAAAGCCTATATTTGGGCATTTTCCTATTTAATCTTCTCTGTATTGTGTAGAGGGTGCTGGATAATGTAACTCTAGCACTCTCCTTTGATTCCCTCCTAAGATGAGGCCCTTCAGACCTACAGGCTTTTCTGAGCTCCAGGCTACGACAGAAATTTATAGACTGGGGAGCTAATTTGTACTTTGCTAATAATCAGAATACAGGAGAGCAGAAAAATCGCCACCCAGTTTCAAGCCTGCTGTTGCAGGATGGTGAGTAATCCCCACCCACTATGAAGTCAGCCCAGATTGACAAGAATGGGCAACACAAGGGTTCCCAATGTTTACTCTCATCTCTATCTGCTAGGAACCCTGCAAAATTATATGTTTTCACATCTGTAAAACTGTTAGTCAGACTTATCTGCAGGATTCATAGGAAGCTTTTCTTTCTTGTAGATAATAAGAGTTTGGACGAAAAAACACACTAGACTTTGCTGGGTTTGTTTGGCTTTAGCAAAGACATTGGACTTCTCTGTACTTTGGTTTTTCCCTCTATGAAATGGAACTATAACAAACCCACTCCTCCCTAATGCAACTGATGATGGAGAAGTAAACAGTATAGCAGATAGGAAAGCACTCATAGCTCTTTGGAGGATGAGGGTCAGATCAGTTCAGTCCAAGTGTCTGAGACATTCAACAAGAATAACAACAACAATAATGAGCGCTTGGGTTTGAAGAGTGTTTAACAGTTTACACAATGTTTTAATTTTTAAAAAACTTAAGTTCAGGGGTACACGTGTAGGTTTGTTATATAGGTAAATTGCATGTCAAGGGAGTTTGGTGTATGGATTATTTCATCACCCAGGTAACAAGCATACTACCTGATAGGTTGTTTTTCAGTCCTCTTAAAATGTTTTAAATGTATTATTTCATTGGCCTTTATAATAAGGCATGAAATAGGGCGGCTACTTTTTAAGTTCATTTGACAGATAAATAAGGGCCAAGAGAAGGAGAGCGCCTTGCCCAAGATCAAACAGCCGGACGTGCCTCCCGACACCAAAGCTAGTGCTCATTCTAGTTTACCGAACTACATAAGCCGTTTTAGTTAATGCCTATTTCCTTTCATTCCTATCCTCCTTCCAGTGAGGCTTGCTTGGTAGGAGGCCTCTAATTAGCAATCAAAGCTTTCTATCTCTCGTGTATAGTTCTCATCTATCAACTGTATAGAGAACTTAAATTTGCCTTGAAATTCTCCTTCAGCCATTATCTGTGAACGCTGGGTCTGATGAGTCATCTAGGCCTTAAACTTTCTTTTTGAATACTATTATTTATAAATTTTGCTATTTCTCCTATTACCACATAGTATCTGTTAAAGCAAACTAAATATAGCCTGAGAAGGACTCCATGCTTCTACATTTGGGTCCTCGTGGATGAACTGTAACCTAGCTTAATAGGCAGACAAGGTTGAAACCTAATTTAGGAGTACGCGCCTATAGAAATAGCTGAGTCTTGGCCAATCTCAGAGGCCATACTTCAACCACTCATAGACTGCTAAGTATTCAAACTGTGTTCAAAGAAGGTAAACTTCAACCCGTAACCAATCCAGCTGTTTCTGTACCTCACCTCCAATTTCTATACATCACTTTTTTTTTAATCTATAAATTTGTTCTGACCATGAGGCATCCCTGGAGTCTTTCAGAATCTGCTGTGATTTTAGGGGCTGCCCGATTCACAAATCTTTCACTGCTCAATTAAACTCCTTCAAATTGAATTCGGTTGAAGTTTTTCTTTTAACACATCTGAGCAACAGATCAGTTCCTTGGATCCTCCCTCCTCAGCCTCCCTAGTAGCTAGGACTATAGGTACTCACCACCACACTCAGTTCATCTGTGGTATCCAGCAGACCTAAGTATTCCTAAGGTGATTTATTTCCAATAAGAAACTACTAAACTAAGCCTTAGATCTCAGAGACAATGTGAGAATAGGCCACCATAACTTCAAACTTCCATTCCCTTTCATTCCTATTGCCCAGTTCCCTTTGTCAATGCTGTTTATGTTGTTTTCCTCAAACTCCTAAAGAATAAACCAATATGAGGAGAGTTTTTTCCCTCTTTGATGTCTCTAAATGTGTTCTCTTTGGGCCAGAAATCTCAGTACTTTGAATGGCAGGGAGTTCTTCAAGCCTGTTATACATCCTGGTATGAATAATTTCACTAAATATAACCACCCTAAACTATGCTGAGCCATAGAACCAGAGCCTGCCTTTCCTCTGGAAGTCAGAAGAAGGGATCTGGAGGAAGGAAGAATTGGAGGAACGCTTTTTAAATGAAGTTAATCCTGGGTAATGGCTCACTAGACACTGGCTGCCTTCCTTGCCTTGATCTCCAAAATCTGAGCAAGCTACCCAGAAACTGCCATGTCTTCAACCCCAGAGAGTTGAAAGCCCTAATCCACTGATGAGGGCAGAGCCCTCATGGCCTAGTCACCTCCTAAATGCCCTACCTCTTAATACTGTTGCATTGGGGATTAAGTTGCAACATGAATTTTGGAGGGAACACAAACATTCAAACAAACCATAACAGAACCCAGCTTCAAACACAGTATTCCAGCCTCTACAGCACAATCCCTATCCTCATGACTTTTTAAAGGCCATTGAAGCAAGTGGGTGCATACGCAGATGACCCTAAAAAAAATACAGAAGTTGATAGGGATAGGAACATATATTTGGCTGCTTCTATAGTTAACAAAATGCTGTTACATTCCTTGCCTCCCTAGCTCTAAAGACTATACTAGCGAGACAAAGAAAGTACCTGAGATGAGGGGAGGGTAGATGTTCACAGAGATCCCCAGGATATTTGCTCTATGTCCTCGCAGGGGCTTAGGTACCCCTAGGGAATTATCCGTATTGTTAAGAACTTGTGTTAATATTCTGGGTTCTGTTTCTTTTTTTAAGGTCTTAAGAGTGTGCTCAAGTCATTCTTGTGTTTCCATCTAATACAGACACAGATCAGGGAAGACTAAACCCTACTAATTTCTCATTGGAATCCTCAGAACAAAGGGCCTCCCAAGAACTAATGGCCAAAATATCCATCCATAACACAAGTAAGCTTAGAAAATCTCTTCTTACAATCCTGACATAATGGAAGTTTCCCTAAACCAGCCAGCATCTGACACAACCAGGACAAAGAACAACAACTCTGCATTTTTTTACTTTGAGTCCTATCAACCTCCTTCTCTAGCTTTATTCCTATTCCTCACAGCCTATATTGTGGTCTTATTTGTGGGCCTTTTTGGAAACCTCTCTCTCATCATCATCATCTTTAAGAAGCAGAGAAAAGCTCAGAATGTCACCAGCATACTGATTACCAACCTCTCCCTCTCTGAAATCCAGGTATGTGTCATGTGCACCCCTTTTACTGTCATCTACACTCTGATGGACCACTGGATATTTGGGGATGCCATGTGCAAACTCATATCCCACATGCAGAGTGTCTCGATCTGTGTCCATATTCTCACTCATATTAATTGCCATGGAAAGATACCACATAACTGTGAACCCCCATGGCTGGAAGTCCAGTGTGACTCACACCTACTGGAGCATCACACTGATTTGGCTGTTTTCCCTTCTGCTGTCTATTCCCTTCTTCCTGTCCGACCACCTCACTGATGAGCCCTTCCGCAACCTCTCTCTCCCTACTGACCTCTACACCCACTGGGTGGCCTGTGTAGAGAATTGGCCCTCCAGAAAGAACCAGCTGCTCTTCACCACCTCCCAGCTTATGATGCAGTATTTTGTTCCTCTGGGCTTCATCCTCATCTGCTACTTGAAGATTATTATTATCCGCCTCCGCAGGAGAAATGCAAAGGTAGACAAGAAGAGGGGAAATCAGAGCCGGCTCAGTGAGAACAAGAGGATCAACACAATGTTGATTTCCATCGTGGTGACCTTTGGAGCCTGCTGGCTGCCCTGAATATCTTCAATGTCATCTCTGACTGATATTATGAGGTGCTGCTGAGCCGCCACCACGACCTGGTATTTGTAGTTTGCCACCTGGTTGCTATAGTTTCCACATGTATAAACCCTCTCTTTTATGGCTTTCTCAACAAAAATTTCCAAAAGGACCTGCCAGTGCTTATTTACCACTGCTGGTGCTTCACACTTCAGGAAAGACATGAAAATACTGCCATCTCCACTATGCAAACAGACTGTAAGCGGTCTTTAAAATTGGCTCATATACCAATAGGTATATGAACACTGATAATACTTAATGCTAAAGTACTTCTTGAATGGGAGCTGGAGAGGTAATGGTTGGGGATAGGGCAAGATGCAAAAAGAAGAAACCCCAAGCAGGGTCTACCAGGGCCCTCCTCCTGTCTCTACTTCTTTTCTTAGTAACCCCCTATCTGCCTCCCCCACCACCTGCCTCCCTGTCACCTGCCTTCCCCACACCTGCCTCCCTCTTACCTGCCTCCCTCCTCCCATCCTCCCATCCTCCTTTCCATTTTCCTACTCATCTTCCCTTCCATCTTCCCCCCACCATCTTCACCTGCTCTTTTGCCACCTGTCCTCCTATCTACCCAAAGATTTTCTTCCTCCCGTCCTACCTCCCTCCTCCCCCAACTCTGCCTTCCGGTCCTCCCCATCTCTTCTTCCCCTGTCTGTCTCCCTCCCCTCTCTTCCCTCTTCTCCCTCCCCTCCCCTCCCTTCCCCCTCTCTCCCCTCTCCCCCTTTCTCTCTCCTCCCCTCTCTTCTCCCTCCCCTCCTTTTACCCTCTCCCTTACTCTATCCCTCCCCTCCCCCCACTCTCTCACCCTCTCCTCCTCCTCCTCTCTTTCTCTCTTTCTCCCCCCCACTTCTGCTCTGTGCATTTGTCCTTCCTATCTGCATTTCCATCCTCCTGTCTTCCCCATGCCTGGCAGCATAGCTGTGGCAGTCGCCTCTCAGGGTGCTCTGGCCCTGCCTGGTAGAATGAAGACGGTGGGGCCCCTCCCCTGGAGAAGTCTCACGCCTCAGCTGTCTTCCTCATTATTCTCAGAAATGAAAAGCAGGAAGCCACTTTGGTGCCTGTCCCCGAGGGTGGCTAAACCATCCATGGCTAAACCGCCATGGCTGGGGGAGGGAACATGAGTGACAGGGCTCCTGGCCTGAAGCCAGGCCGCACCATCACTGACTGTGTGAGCACAGGCAAGATGCTTTCTTTTCCCTGACTTGTGTGACTCAGTTTCCTCATCTGCCACCATCTCTTATGGTTCTTCTGAGGTTCAGACGAGGAACCAGTTGGCACCGTGCCTGGGCAGAGGCCCTCCATGGTAGGAGCTCTGATTGCCTTCATTTGATAATGATGATGATGATGATGTGGCTTCGCCCTCAAGTCTCTGTGCAAACCTCTCTTTGGGTTTATTTGTCCACAGTGGCTTCCCCAAAGGGCGATGGGGTCAAGTGAGATCTTGGCACCCATGACAGTTCACTCTGGGGTCAGGGGAAGAAGCCAGCCCCTTCCCACCCACTGGTCTCCACAGGTCAACTGCAGCAGAGACATGTCATCCACCCAGCTGTTAGGACTCTGCTGAGGGGACATCACTGCACAGCCTCTCAAGGTACAGGGTCTCTGTCCTGGGCAAAATGGTTGTGGTACACAGTGGGCCCCTTCAGGGCGGCTGGCACAGCCTGATCACAGGGGCTGCCTGTGGTGTGGCCCGGGGCTGAGGTCACTGCCAGGAGAAACTCACATGGTTTCCCTCCTCCAAGACCCCCACGTCCCTGGTGGCATGCACCTGGACTCTCAGCTCTCAGGGACATCAGCTCAACCTAACAATCTTTGAGTTGTCCCATGTGCAAACACAGGTAGACGTCAACCAGGACCTGAGGCTTGCAAGCCCACCTCTGTCATGGGTAACTGAGCTGGTGGTGGGCATGTCCTGGCCTCATGAGACAAGTGGACGGTGGAGCTCAGGGCTGGGGCATGGCTCAGCTCAGGGGGCTTCACGCTCACTCTGCCGAGGGTGCCGGCAGGAAGCGCAATGCCTTTCTCCTTGTCCTGTCTCCCAGCACTGCCATCTAAACGGCAGGGGCTCGGCCATTTCTGTTTTGTTCATGGTAGTATCCCCATGTTTAAGACAGGGCCTGGCATGTAGTAGGTGCTCAGTCCACATTGTTGACTCATGGAGTAGCAGTCCCTGCCTCATAAAACCGGTGACATAAAACCATGAGGAACCTCGCCGCCTGCTGCGTGTTCAGGCAATGATCACAGCTGGTGCTGCTGTTGCCACTGTTTCTTTTCATTCATTCATTCATTCATTCATTCATTCATTGAGACAGAGACTTGCTCAGGTGCCCAGGCTGGAGTGCAATGGCATGACCTCAGCTCACTGTAACTTCTGCCTCCCAAGTTCAAGCAATTCTCCTGCCTCCGCCTCCTGAATAGCTAGGATTACAGGCGAGCACCACCATGCCCAGCTAATTTTTGTAATTTTAGTAGAGATGGGGTTTCACCATGTTGGTCAGGCTGGTCTTGAACTCCTGACCTCGTGATCCACCCGCCTCAGCCTCCCAAAGTGCTGGGATTACAGGTGTGAGCCACCACACCCGGCCCTGATTTGCATTTCTTAGAGGTCAGCTGGGGCAAGGGCAGGCATGGAGGCTGGGAGGTGACAGCTGCTGCTGCATTCCCGGCGCAGGGGATGGTAAGGAGAGGAAGCTACCACCACCTGTACCTGCCTGACACCCAGATTCTCTTGTCCCAGGCTCTCTTGGTCTCCGGGGAGCACATCCTGGGCTGAGGTGGGCTCCTGCTGCGTTCCAGCCGCCAGCTGGGCCTCGCCCCAGCCCCAGACCACAGCCTACACCTCAGCCTGACCCTCCGAAACCACAGCAGGCCTCATTTGCCTGACTTCTCCAGGGAGCTGGAGGTGGGTGGCCAGGATGGGGCTGACAGTCCCTGGGAAAGATGCCCCTACTTCCCTCCCGTTCCTTCCTGGCCAGCAGGTCCTCACTGCCCGGGCGGCCCCGCCATCTAGTGGCCAACTGAGGAACTGCAGACCAGCACCCTAGATGGGGCCAGAGTGCCACTCCGGGTTGGGGGAACACCTGCTGAAACCCAGGCCTGGCCCTGGCAACGAGACAAAGCAGCTCCTCCACCGCCCCAACACCCAGCCCTTCCTATAACGGAGAGGTAGCAGCTGGGCTGCCCAAGTTTCAATCTGAGCCCAGCCGCCTCCTGGCACCTGAGTTTCCTCCTGTGTAAAAGACATAATCATTACACTGGGGGTTATATCTCCCATGGGGTTAATATTGCAAAGATTAAATATGTTTATAGGCATAGATCACTTAGAGCAGTGCCTGATGGAAAACAGCCACTACATATTTGCTGTCATTAGCCATTATTGGCCCATCTCCTCCCGCTTCCTTCCTCCCAGCAGCCCTGCAAAGTAAGAAGGGGCAGAGTTGGCCTCCATTGCCTACTCTGCCCTGACCTGGACAGGTGATCCCAGCAGGGAACCTCTCTGAACATGTTTCCTCCTCTTGGATCAGGTATTTCACAGGATAGTTTTTGGGGGTCTGGATACCAGTTTCCACTGCCTGCATAGCCAAGGCACATGACATAGCAAGTGCTCTCTTGGTGTTTCCATTCGCATCCTCTGTCTTCCTGGCCGGGTGAACTTGACCTTGTGACTTTCCTTTGCTGAGTCTCACTGTTCCCCTCTGTCAAATGGGAACATCTACCATCTCCCTTGCAGAATCATTAGGAGGAAAACAGACAGTTGTACAATATCTGCACATAGTAGGTGCTTCTGAGAAGGGAATTCCCTCCCTTCCTGGCATCTGGAGCTGGATGAGGATGGCATTTGTGGGTTGAGAGTTCAGCAGCCATGGCCATTTCAAAGGAGCTTCTCCTTCCAAGGTTCTTGTTCTCCGGGACTTACAGTCACTTCCCCGTTTCCCAGTCAGGCTCCTGGCTGCTCCCGGATCTGTAAGCCCCATGCCCGATGGAACTGGATGCCTGGAAATGGGCCTGTGGCAGACACTCAGCAAGTGGCTGGTCCTCTTGCTTCTCTGTCCCTGATTTACTTGGGAGAGCTGTTCTGGCCCCTTCTCACTTGCTTCATTCTGGGGTCTGTGGAGTGGTCAGAGGCTTCCCCAGCCTTATTTGTTCCTCCCTAAAACCCAGTGGCCCCAGGACAGAATCAATGAGGTCAGGCACTCGCCCAGGCTGCTCAGAGGCAGGTGGGACCCTCGCTCTCCAGTGACAGCCAGTGAGGGGCTGAGCTCAGATGCAGGGAGCCATCCAGGGCCAACTTCATGTGGTCTGCAGACCATCCCCTTCTCCCATCTGCCTGGCAGGATCTCAGTGTGCTCTGTGAAATTCCACAGGACTCCGGGGCTGTTCCCTCCTACCAACTTGGATCTCCTCAGAAGTCAACATGCTTCTGCATGTGTAGTAAGCACCCTGCATTCAAATCCAAGAGTTACTGTATTAAAGTGCCAACCAGAAGGCTTAATGCAACAGACATGTCTAGTCTTACAGTTCTAGAGGCCGGTAGTCCAAATCAAGTTGTCAGCAGGGCCACACTCCCTCTGAAAGCCCTAGGGAAGATCCTCTGTACCACCTCTGGCTTCTGGTGGCTGCTGGCAACCCTTGGCTGTGGGGGCATCATGCCAGTCTCTGCCTCTGTCCCACATGGTGGCTTTCTCCTAGGAACAGCATTCATTGGGTGTGTGATCTGCCTTCATTCACTGCGGCCTCATCTTAACTTCATTACATTTGCAAAAAACTTATTTCCAAATAACACCACATTCATGGATATGTGGGGTTAGGACTTCAATATATCTGAGGAACAAAATTCAACTCATAACAGACCCACGTGCACATATACTCTCTCTCTTAAGTCCTGCTACGTTTTGTGAACCATTGTTCTGTATATTTTACAGACCTTGGAGCTGAGGCCCAGAGAGAGTGCCGCCCTTACTGAAGGGTGCACACCTTGTTAGCTGCAGTGTCTGGACTAGAATACAGGGTAGCTGAGGCTCTTTCCCCTCCAGGCTTCTGTTCTCTTGGGGCCTCTATGCCTCTCCCCAGCCCCATTCTAAACTCACCTGTCCTGGTCCTGGTCCCTGCCATGCTCCCAAGGCTTGAAGTAAACTGCTCCGTGCCTGGGGTGTTATGCCAGGAGATACCCACGTCTCCTTGAACTTGCTTAGACCTTTGCAGTGGTTCCCATGCAAACTCAGAAAGCCCGGGCTGTTGGCAGAAACACCAGGGCACTGGGAATGTTAGAAACACAAGTGCCCGGGCCCCCCTCAAACCAATTAAATCAGACTGTCTGGGTGGGGCCTGGGAAGCAGTCATTGCTAAGTTACCCTGTGGTGGCTGCTGCTGGGTTGGTGGGCTCCTAGATGGGTTTTTGTTTTGTTTTGTTTTGTCTTATTTTGTTTTTGAGACAGAGTCTCTCTCTGTCACCCAGACTGGAGTACAGTGGTGCCATCTTGGCTCGCTGTAACCTCCGCCTCCCAGTTCAAGCGATTCTTCTGCCTCAGCCTCCCAAGTAGCTGGGACTACAGGTGTGTGCCACTATGCCCAGCTAATTTTTTGTATTTTTAGTAGAGACAGGGTTTTACTGTGTTAGCCAGGACAGTTTCAATCTTCTGACCTCGTGATCCACCTGCCTTGGCCTCCCAAAGTGCTGGGATTATAGACGTGAGCCACCGTGCCTGGCCTAGATGGATATTTTTAAAATTTTTAAATGTTATGAGACTGGCTAATTTTTGTATTTTTGGTAGAGACAGGGTTTTGTCATGTTGCCCAGGCTGGTCTCAAACTCCGGGGCTCAAGTGATCTACCCACCTTGGCCTTCTAAAGTGCTGGGATTACAGGAGTGAGCCACTGCACCCAGCCCTGAGTATTTTCACAGGTGCTTTCTGTGTTGGGGCACTGCGAGGCTTGGGGAGGGATGTGGTGTGAGGAACCTGGTACCCTGGAGATTGGGCATCGGTATTATGCCTTCCATTGGTTTCCTACAGGTCTGACTGCAGCCTCCCCAGCCAGCCCCTTCCTGAGCCTGGGGCTGGCAGGGGACAGAGATCAGGGGCAGGGCCTGGGCCAGGCTCCACTCAGGCCTCTGCCCTCCCCTTCCCAGCTTCGTGGCTCCAAAGCTCAGCGGGTCAGCCTACTGGGCCATGTCTCTACCTTGGCTTCTCAAAGCCTGGTCCGGTTGGAGGGGAATGTGGACAACAGGGAGGAGAAAGTGAGGCTGTCCGTGTCCCAGGCCCCAAGCTGTCTCCAGGCCTCTGTGGCCCATGAGGAGGGTGAGTGCCGGCCGGGTCCCACGCTCAGCTCACTGGGTCATGGCCCCCATTGGCTCAAGAAAGGAGAGGGGTCTGGGCATTAAGATCTCAGAAGTGAGGGCTGGGGGCAGAGGCTAACACCTGTAATCCTCTCACTTCGGGAGGCCGAGACAGGAGGAGGCCTGTTTGAACAGCAAGCTGGCAGGCTGAAGCAGAATGTGAGCAAGGGAGAGTGGATGCAATGGGGAGGGACTGGGAAGTCCCGAGGCTGGGGGTAGGAGGAGGGCGCTGGCTTCTGCTCTGACCTAGGAAGGACGTGATCACTCTTTCACCTCAAAAGGCCCCTTTGGTTCCTGTGTTGAGAACACAGGGATGGTGGATAGAAGTGGGGAATGCAGTCTAGAGCAGGGGCCTGGGGACCCGGTATCCTTTTCCCTCCCAGGCATGAGGTCCACCAACAGCCAGACTCCAGGCAGGGAGGCAGCCCCCTTCTTCCACGCTGCTTGGCCTCACAGAGTGTCTGGACTCCGGCTCTGCCTCTAACTAAGATTCTTCTGCATCGGCTCAGTGTGCCTCAGTTTCCCCAGCTGTAGAATAGGGACTAAACCCGCATCATGGGGAAAAGGCTCCATGTAATACAAGTTCCTGCTCCTGCCTTCTTACAGTCAGAATGTAGGCTGAGGAAGGGAAGAGCTCCCAGGGTGGGGCTTTGGCTTGATTGAAGAATCACCTGCCTGGTAATTTGCCTACCTGGTGAGTGGGATCTGGTGGGAATGCCAAAAAATAGATTCAGCTATCAGAGAGGGCATTGAGGCTGCTTCCTGCCTTCAGCTGCAGGGCCTCTGGCCTCCCTAGAAAGTAAGTGAGGTCACCTGCCCCTGTACCCACTCCATCGGCCCATCAACAACAGAGTGTGCAATGTTCCTCTTCCCACTACACCCCCATGTGAACCGAGATCTCCCGGATCATTCAGATCTCACAGGCTTGACTCCTACTCTACATATTGAGAAAGTTCCAGTCCTCCCCTCAACTGTAGAAATTTCCTCAACCTGTTGGTCAGGCATAGTGGCTCACACCTGTAATCCTAGTACTCTGGGAGGCCGAGGTGGGCAGATCACTTGAGGTCGGGAGTTTGAGACCAGCCTGGCCAACACGGTGAAACCCTGACTCTACTAAATCTGCAAAAATTAGCCAGGCATGGCAGTGAGTGCCTGTAGTTCCAGCTACTCTAGAGACTGAGAAAGGAGAATCACTTAAACCAAGGAGGCAGAGGTCGCAGTGAGTCAAGATCGTACCACTACACTCCAGCCTGGGCAACAGAATGAGATTCTGTCTCAAAAAACAAACCAAAACAATTTCTTAGACCTTCCAGCTCCTGTCTTTGGCATCCCCACACACGGATCCCATGCTGCCAAGACCCAGGGGGCAGAGCAGCCCTGGGGAGCACCCAAGCCTTGGGCTTTTAGCATAGAGTGTTCAGGTCTTTATAGATTGGGCCCATGGCACAGAGAGGTCCCAGGTCTCTGGCTTCCTGTGACCTTTGCCTTCTTTGCCTACAGAAAATGTCACCCTCCAAAGCAAGAAACTTGAGGGCATGGGTCACCCCAGCCCTGGCATCTGCCCAGAACTTGAGAAGGAAGGAATATTCTCCAGCGACCTTACAGGGCTGGCATCCGTGGTCACTGCCCTGTGGATCACCCAGCTGTGTCGGGCAACCTGAACGTCATCTGCAGGGATGCAAAGAGGAAAGTACCAAAGTCTTTACATAAGCCCTGAGAAGGCAGATGCAGCAAAAACCTCCAGGCGGTAACTACCCAGTCTGGGACCGCGGTGGAGAGAGCATGTTGGCGATCATGTGTACTTACACTCTAGGGTCACCAGGTGGCGCTATGGCCTCATCCGTGGCTCTGAAAAGGAAAATTTGGAAGTTTACCACAGCTAATGTTTAACAAGCCCCTACTATGTGACAAATCACTCACCCCTCACAACAAGCTAATGAGCTAGGGATTCTTATTATCTATATTTTATACAAAAAAAATGGAGACATAAAGAGATGAATTTTCTCTTGCCCAGATCACTCAGCTAATAAGTGGGGGAGACAGAACAGGACCTAAGCAGTGTGGCTGCGGAGCCCCCATGCATTGATTCAACAAGTGTTTATTGAGCACCTGCCACGTACAAGGTCTTGTGTGATTAAATACGGTTATGATTAATAGTATAACAATGACAAATCACTGACACTTTCTAGAGTTAACATTTTCTTGTTTTGTAGGTTTCAGGCACAGAACTGTATATGCAATAATAGCGAAATTGATCTCACTAGTTATGACAAAAATGATACATTTAAATGAGTTGGATGTTTTAGAGGTATTATTTCATGAATTCTTGACAGAAACTGAATGAGGAATGAAATTTATTGTTCCCATTTCACGCAGAAGGAAACGGAGGTGAAAAGGGGTAAAGTAATTTTGCATGGCATGAAGTAGAAATTCAAAGTACAGGAATTTTGAACTTGGTTCTACCTTTTCTGAGGCCCCCATGCTCTTGACCACTATAGACTCAAGCATCACTTTGTTTTTCCACTCATTCAAGAAACTTTTTTTTTAATTGTCTAATAGGTTGGCATTCATCATGAGCTTCTGTTCCCATTCTACAGGTGGTGAAGACCTCTATTATCCTGACCCCACAGTTCCTGTCCCATGCCCAGGGCCAGCTCACCAGGGAGCTGCAGCAGCACATAAAGTCCGTGCCATCCCCCATGCAAGTACCTGAGGAAGGTGAGTGAATGCAGACAGATGGAGCCTGGCACTCTTGAACAGTTCCTGGGTCTCGGCTGCCACAGGTCTCACAGGGGGCCATGCTAGGGGAAGCACAGGCAGTCACAATACTGGCTTTTTCCTCCTTTTTCCTTCCATGGAAGTGGCTTAGGGATGGGGTAGAGCAGCTGACTTATTTGGATAAAAACCACTATTTTGTGTCATAAACTCAAAAAGAATCACTGCTGGCATGTTAACCTAAAGAAAGAAAAACAGATAAGTGCGCATTGGTACTTAAAAATGTTATTTTACGTATGTATGTATTTATTTATTTATTTATTTGAGGCAGAGTCATGCTCTCTCACCCAGGCTTCAGTGCAATGGTGAGATCTCGGCTCACTGCAACTTCCCGGCCTCCTGGGTCCAAGCAATTCTCCTGTCTCAGCCTCCCGAGTAGCTGGAACTATAGGCATGTGCCACCACGCCCAGCTAATGTTTGCATTTTTATTAAAGATGGGGTTTTGCCATGTTAGCCAAGCTAGTCTTGAACTCCTGACCTCAGGCAATCCTCCTATTTTTTAGTATGACTCATAATAAATAAATTCTATATTACATATATATGCTCTATATTTCTGAATAAAAGACTTAACAAAATCATATTTACAACATTTAATACATATTTTTATTCTCCATTTGTTTTTGTTTGTTTTTTTGAGACGGAGTTTCGCTCTTGTTACCCAGGCTGGAGTGCAATGGCGCGATCTCGGCTCACCGCAACCTCCGCCTCCTGGGTTCAGGCAATTCTCTTGCCTCAGCCTCCTGAGTAGCTGGGATTACAGGCACGTGCCACCATGCCCAGCTAATTTTTTGTATTTTTAGTAGAGACAGGGTTTCACCATGTTGACTAGGATGGTCTCGATCTCTTGACCTCGTGATCCACCCACCTCAGCCTCCCAAAGTGCTGGGATTACAGGCTTGAGCCACCGCGCCCGGCCTTTCTCCATTTGTTTTGAATGCTCTTTGCAATCTACAAAAAGTCCAATAGTAATAATTAAATTACTCATTAAATTGAGCATTATCTTATCATTAAAATGATAATCTCAAAAATGATCTTTTGTTTTTGAGCTAAAAATATTTTAACGATATATAATTTAAGAGAAAACCATTGGCTACAAAAGAATATACATGGTTTATTATTTTTTGAGATAGAGTATCACTCTGTTGCTCACGCTGAAGTGCAGTGTTGTGATCTCGGCTCACTGCCACCTTCACCTCCCGGAGTTCGAGCGAATCTCCTGCCTCAGCCTCCTGAGTAGCTGGGACTACAGGTGTGTATCACCACGCCTGGCTAACTTTTGTATTTTTTAGTAAAGACAGGATTTCACCATATTGGCCAGACTGATCTCAAACTCTTGACCTTGTGATCTGCCCACCACAGCCCCCCAAAGTGCCGGGATTACAGGCAGAAGCCACCGTGCCTTCTTCATAGTTTTATACTATCTGTTGAAAAATAAAGATTAAAAGAATACATATACAAATAAGTTTACATTTCTCTTTTTGTAATACTTTGCTGCAATGTCTGGGTATTGACAATCAATTTGCATTCTGAAGCTACATGGCTAATGTTGAGTACTCACTGTGTGTGCCAGGCCCTGGGCTCAATGCTCTACCTGCACTTTTATTTCATTTAATTCTCTCCACCACCTGAGGTAGTATAGCCAGCCCATTTTACAGAGTTGAAACTGAGGCTCAGAGACTGAAAGTTAAACACCTGAGGTTGCAGTTAATAAGAGGCAGAGCTGGAACTGAAGCCTACATGTGCCTGACAACTAGTTCGTATTCTGACAGTAGGCTAGTCTGCTTCACAGAGCATGGAATAAACGGTATGTGCCTGCTAGGATGGACCAGGTATCACTGTAGGTAATAAACAACCCCAAACAATGGAAATTTACAACACTGAAGGCTCTTTTCCTGCTCATGCTACCCGTTTTCCATGGCTCTCCTGGGCCCTGTGCTCCACATCCTCACGTCTGCCACCGGAAAAAAAGAGAAGCCTCTATATGGGACCTATCAGCAGCTCTAAGAGATGAAGGAAAGTGTGGCCAGTCTCAGTGGCTCCCACCCTTTTGCCTGGAGGTGACACCGTTCACTTCCACGCACATCTAAGTCAAAGTAAATCCCATAGCTGCCTCCACCTTCAAGGGGCCCAGAGGAGAACTTGAAATATTCAGCAAACTCCATTAAGGCCACCATATGGCATCAGCCACGCAGGAGACTGTGGAGGAGCAGAGGAGGAGAGTGGGGAATTGATGGGAAATGACAGCAGAACTGAGTCACCTCGGATTTGCTTTATCCTCAACCAGGTGGGGTTTGTCCCAGAGCTGCACAAAATCAGCAGCAGCATGATCAAATGGGATAAACTTCAGAAAAAGCAGTTTGTTCAGATGTGATCAGCAGTGAACTCAGAAGTCAACTGGGTGGCATTGAGTCAGTAAATCTCTGCCTGCCTCAGTTACCCCATATGTTAGTGGTAAAGATGGGAGCATTGAGAGAGTTGGTTTAGAGGGATATCAGAAGTGTGAACATTCAACATTTTGTTCCTTTAAGTTAAATCCAGGCACTGTCTTCCCTGCAAGTCTCCTGTTTCCTTCAGATTGCACAGGTGAGGTCAGATTGCTCAGATTAGGGCTGGAGGTCATAAAATATTGGCTCCCACACCACCAGTTCCCCTGTGTTGTGCATACATTCTGTGCATTTTCCTGTGCTAAACATTGTCCCAAAACATCATAAGGCCTGATCCTTCCTCCTTGTTCCAATGGCCCTGGGTGACTCAAGTGCCCATTCAATGACCAGGACACAGAGGTCTTAGAGGGATGCTCCATGAAGCCCCAGGTGCCATCCACTGCCCTGTCAAAGTATGAGGCAAGGGACAGGACATCGTCCCTTGGGGCAGTGGTCAGCCAGGCCTGGTGACTGTACTTGGTGGACAGATGATCCTACACCTGCCACCTCTAATGGATCCACTGCCTCAGTGGCTGTTTGTACTGCTGATGCTCCAGTGGCTGCCCCAGCATCCCAGCCTAGGTCCAATGCCACTGAAGATTGGCCTGCCCCCTGGGGACCCAGGAGACCAACAGGACTCACTCAGCTGTCCCCAGGAGTCACACCAGACCCTCATTCTTATCAAGGACACAGGAGCCCTACCCCTAGCCCTCCCTCAACAGCCATAAATGATGATTTACTGCCGTTATCCTCATTACTGTCTTTAGTGGCCAGGGACCTTCCAAGGTGCCAGCTCTGGAGGGAAAGATGTCCTTGGAAGGTGATGACAGTACACAGGTGCTCAACAGGTTACTTCCTCCTATCTTCAGACAGTCTTTGACACAGCCATTACACTCCCATTGTGTGGAAGGAAACCCGCCCAGGGTCACACAGCTGGTCAGCAGCACAGCTGGTCTCAAATCTAAGGTGCCTGGCCCTGCCTCCATGAGGGACCTGCCTGCAAGGGAGGTTGACCCTGGCTTTGAGGAGCCTTTCCTGGGCTGCATGAATCACCTCCCAGGTTGGAGGCCCCAAACTCTGCTCATATCTCCTTGCCCTGTCTCTGCTTGGGCTATAATCAAGGTGACCCCAGCAACCCTTCATGGACATCATGGTACTCTCTGCCATTCACTTTTGGGATAATCTGACTTCAGCACCCACTTACTTCGTCTCTCCTTTTACAACCAAGACAACCCAAATCCAGGGCTCTTTATGCAGGTGACAGGATACAAGCAGAATTGAATGCCATAGTTGTGTTATCCCTGTTTCGTTTTTGTTTTGCTTGTGTCTCAGGGTTGTTTTTCTATGTATGGTAAAGGCATTGGCTTTCCATTTTTAGCATGAATAGAATATTTGCAGTTTACAATAACTACGTCATAGAAAATTGTAAGGAGATTTAAAGCAGTGGTTTTCAGCTATGAGAGGCCTAAGTTTGAGCACACCCTGTGTGATGGGGCAGAAGCAGGCCTTTGGGAAGTTTAGCTGAGGATGGGTCCAGGAAAGATAATGGACAATGGGGGTCTGACCTGGTCACCAGACCACTGGGTCCTGCCCACCTGCTTCGCACTCCCCAGCCATCACTCACAATGCTGCCAAACCCTCTGGGTATTGTGGCCAAATCCCCCAGGAGAGAGGCTGACGAACTTTGTCTCTTGAAATGCAGATTCCTTGGACATCCCTGGGAGCTCAACCACGAGAGTCAACTTGGTTTTCTCCCCCTCATTAGGGTTCAGAATTAAAAGTCCACCTTCACAGGCAGTAAGATAATATAGATAAGTGACATCATCACCCTGTTTCAGATGTTAATATGTCTAGGTGTGTTAGGGATGATTTGAGACCACACAACCTTGTGCCAGTGGAATTCCTGGGCCAGAGGGAGACATTTGATTGCCATGTTATGATCTTACCACCAAGTGTAAAGGCAGTCTTGTTTCATTTTGGATTCTTTCTTCTGTTGATATCTTATAAGGGCACTTTGAATTTCCAAGCATATAGTAATTTTTGGTTAGCTTTTAATCATTAACTTCTAGCACAATTCTGTGATCAAAAACCTGCCGTGGGAATGCTGGGAAGATGGCCGCCTAAGAACAGCTTAAAGTGCAGAGGGTGAGTGGACGCCACATTTCCAGACGAACTCTTATTGCCCACAGACCAGGAGATACCCAGGCAGAGGGGTCGCCAGCGTTGCAGTCCCAGCCGGTGCGGCTGTTTTGGCCCCCGCGGAGCTGATTCCGCCCGCGCAGCTGCTGTGACCACTCCCTGTTGCTGCGGTTCTCCGGACAAAAGCCACTGGTCTGGGAGCCCTCTTAGCTGGCGATCAGAGCCCTGAGACGGCAGAGCTGCCCATTCAGCTGAAATAGCGAGTCAGGCCAGGAGATTCCTAGGCAAAAAATCCGCCAGGAGCCGGCGCCGCAGTTCGAGCCGACTCCGTGAGTCGCAGCACGGGAGATCCCGGCGCCTTTTCAACAAGCTACCGGAACGCGGGGTCGTTCAACTTAAAAGAAAAGACTCTGAGTCAGGGAGCCAGGTGATCAGGCTCGGTTGGTCCCACCCCTCCACCCCCAACAACAACGAAAACAAAAACAGTAATTGGAAACCCTCTGGGTTGAGCCCTTCAAACCAAGCACAGCTGAACGGGGACGGTCCGGCTCGGTGGGGGAGGGGCTTCCGCCATTACTGAGACTCTCCACCGCTACAGAGGCAGGCTGCCGTTGCCGAGGCAACCTGCCACAACAGAGAGAGTCCGCCATAACAGAGGCGGGGCCACTGTTGCCGAGACAGTTCTAACTACGCCCATATAAAAAGGACTACAGGGAAGAGCTCAGGGCAGCTGGGCGGAGCCCACAGCAGCTCAGCAAAGCCCCTGCGGGCAGGCAGAGGCTAGGCGTGCTGCTAGCTGGGCGGGTCCGACCTGAAAGAAAAATCAAAAAAGGCAGTAGTGCAACGGAAACTCATAAAGCTCCAACTCCCTGGGACAGAGACAGACAACAGGTGGATAAACCCACAAAAATGGGAAGAAACCAGCGCAAAAAGGATGAAAACTCCCGAAACCAGAACACCTCTCCTCCTAAAAGGGATCACAACTCCTCACCAGCAAGGGAACCAGACCGGATGGAGAAGGAGGGTGATGAAATGACAGAATCAGACTTCAGAAGGTGGGTAGTAAGAAACTACAATGAGCTAAAAGAACATGTTCTAACCCAACGCAAAGAAAATAGGAACCTTGAAAAAAGATTGGTCGAACTGCTGACGAGAATGGACAGCATAGAGAGGAGTATAAGTGAATTGATGGAGCTGAAAAACGCAACACGAGAACTTCGTGAAGCATGCACAAGCTTCAACAGCCGAATTGACCAAGCAGAAGAAAGGATATCAGAGGTCGAAGATCAACTAAATGAAATAAAAAGAGAAGGCAAGAACAGAGAAAAAAGCGCAAAAAGGAATGAACAAAATCTTCAAGAAATGTGGGACTATGTGAAAAGACCTAATCTACGTCTGATAGGTGTACCTGAATGTGATGAAGAGAATGAATCCAAGCTGGAAAATACTCTTCAGGATATTATCCAGGAAAACTTCCCCAACCTAGCAAGGCAGACCAATATTCAAATCCAGGAAATACAGAGAACACCACAAAGATATTCCTCAAGAAGAGCAACCCCAAGGCACATAATCGTCAGATTCACCAGGGTTGAAATGAAAGAGAAAATGCTAAGGGCAGCCAGAGAGAAAGGTCGGGTTACCCACAAAGGGAAGCCCATTAGACTCACAGCAGATCTCTCAGCAGAAACCCTACAAGCCAGAAGAGATTGGGGGCCAATATTCTACATCCTTAAAGAAAAGAACTTTCAACCCAGAATCTCCTATCCAGCCAAACTAAGCTTCATAAGTGAAGGAAAAATAAAATCCTTTGTGAACAAGCAAGCACTCAGAGATTTCATCACCACCAAACCTGCTCTACAAGAACTCCTGAAAGAGGCTCTACACATATAAAGGAACAACCAGTACCAGCCACTCCAAAAACACACCAAATGGTAAAAGAGCATCAACACAATCAAGAATCTGCATCAACTAGCCAACAAAACAGCCAGGTAGCATCAAAATGACAGCATCAAATTCACACATAACAATACTATCCCTAAATGTCAATGGACTAAATGCCCCAGTCGAAAGACACAGACTGGCAAATTGGATAAAAAGCCAAAACCCATCAGTGTGCTGTATCCAGGAAACCCATCTTACATGCAAGGATACACAAAGGCTCAAAATAAAGGGATGGAGGAAGATCTACCAAGCAAATGGAGAGCAAAAAAAGGCAGGAGTTGCAATTCTCATCTCTGATAAAATAGACTTTAAAGCAACAAAGATCAAAAGAGACAAAGAAGGACATTACATAATGGTAAAAGGATCACTGCAGGCCGGGTGCGGTGGCTCAAGCCTGTAATCCCAGCACTTTGGGAGGCCGAGGCGGGTGGATCACGAGGGCGAGAGATCGAGACCATCCTGGTCAACATGGTGAAACCCTGTCTCTACTAAAAATACAAAAAATTAGCTGGGCATGGTGGCACGTGCCTGTAATTCCAGCTACTCAGGAGGCTGAGGCAGGAGAATTGCCTGAACCCAGGAGGCGGAGGTTGCGGTGAGCCAAGATCGTGCCATTGCACTCCAGCCTGGGTAACAAGAGCAAAACTCCGTCTCAAAAAAAAAAAAAAAAAAAAAAAGGATCACTGCAACAAGAAGAGCTAACGATCCTAAATATATACGCACCCAATACAGGAGCACCCAGATACATAAGGCAAGTTCTTAATGACTTACAAAGAGACTTAGACTCCCACACAATAATAGTGGGAGACTTTAACACCCCATTGTCAATATTAGACAGATCAACCAGACAGAAAAGCAACAAGGATAT